ATTAAGGCATATGGTTCTAAAATCATTAATGTTATATGTTTCTTTACAACTGTTGTCCCATAGTTGAATTTAACTTTCCCTTTATTATTGAAAAAAAATAGACTATAGACTTGAATCCATAACCCTTGTGGTGGTAAACCAGTATAAGCTGAACCCAATTATGATGTTGTTGTTGTTGTGTTGTTATGTGCCATCAAGTAGGTCCAACTCATAGCGACCCCTCCTTGGGTTGCTGAGGCAGTATCATCACAGAAGTACATTGCCCAACCTTCCTTCCGAGGAGTTGCTAGTGGGTTTGAACCACCAGCCCTCTGGTTAGCAGTTAAATGCCTTAGGCACTATGCTACCAGATTAGGATATGTGCAATATTTCAGGAACTTGATGGCACAACACCTTAAATCACAATCCTCTAAACATTGTAATGGACCAATCCCACAGTACCCATTTGGTAATGTCAATGTGTATTAAGACTTGGACTAAGTGTTTTTACCCTTTGCATTTTTCTTATATTTTACAAATCCAATTTTCATTAAGTCTTTGGTGTTCTGAAAGATCTTTGAAAAAAATTATACTCTTTTCTCATTTACCAGCAACATAAATAGAGAACACAAGTAAAATCACTTTCATTTCTTCTCTAAATTTTCACCTACACATAGTCATGGGGGATTTCAAAATTCATAACAAACATGTTACCATTGTTGAGGACACAGCACTTTTAATACTGTACAGAACAATTTTTTTCTTTTTTGAATATTGTTATTGTTAATTACTATCAAGTTAGTTCTGACTGACAGCAACCCTACAACAGAAAGAACAGAGCAAAACTATGCCAGGTCCTGTGATATCCTGACAGTTACTTCTAGGCTTGAGTCTCTTGTTGCAGCCACTGTGTCTATCCATCTCTTTGAGGGTCTTCCTCTTTTTCATTAACACTGTATTTTACCAAGCATTATATCCTTCTCCAGGGAATGGTCCTTCCTGATAACATGACCAAAGTATGAGACACAAAGTCTCACCAAGCTCACTTCTAAGGAACATTCTGGCTGCACTTCCTCCAAGACAGATCTGTTTGTTCTTCTGGAACTCCATGGCATATTCAATATTTTTCATCAACACCATAATTCAAATGCATCAATTCTTCTTCAGTCCTCCTTATTCATTGTCCAGCTTTCACATGCATAGAAAGCAACTGAAAGTACTATGGCTTGAGTCAGGCACGCACGTTAGTCTTCAATGTGACATCATTGCTCCTTAACACATTAAAACTAGAAATGCCTTATTTTCAAACATAAATGTAGAGAAAAGTAAAAGGAAATGTGAAATGAGAAACTGAGAACATTATTTTTTAAAAAGATAAATCTGTTTAAAAATGATAATTCTCAGATAGTTCCCAAATGTAATAATTTAACAATGTAAGCTAACTTAAAATGCTTCTATTAATTGCAAATATTTTTGCTTATTCATGGTGAAATATATGGTGATACATCAGAGACAGTCCAAAAAATAATTAAAATTATTATCCATTACATAGGAATCAGGATGAATGTGTTTATTCAATGAGAAATTATGGACTTGAAATCCAAGATTGACTATCATATTAACTTCCAGAATATTTAAAAGCAAATGTAACTATGCTGCTTTCTTAGAAAAAGTCAAGTTTATGCGTGTAAATAACTTACACATACACATGTACTTAATAATTAAGCATTCAGTAACCTGAGAGTATTCCATCCCCTAACCAATAGTGTATTAACCCTTTAGTTTCAAATGAAGAATGATAACATTTTGAATGAATTTGAAGCTTACATATAATGTGATATCGGCAATATAGCCTAAATTAATCTATTCCAATAGGTATAATAAATACAATCATATATTTTAAAAGTGACATTGACCAGGGGCATAAAGATCATCCTACATGATTTAAATTTTCCATAAGATAATATAATTGAGGCAAATACCCCAATAGTAATTTTCTGGTAGCATAGTGCCTAAGGCACTTGACTGCTAACCAGAAGGCTGGCAGTTCAAACCCACCAGCCACTCCTCAGAAGGAAGGTTGGGCAATCTATTTCCATAGTGATCCTGCCTCAGAAACCCAAAGAGGGGTCACTATGAGTCGGGCGACTCGATGGCACATAACAACAACAATATTCAAATGACTTACGTAAATTAGAAAGGTCAAATTCTTCTGTTTGTCTATCCCCATTGGATAATGGTGTAGGTATTTAAATTATGTAAAGCTAGCAATTGCCCATGATTCCAGCAATTGATTTTAGAAAGGATAACAAGAGATGTTTTACTATATTCCAAATCAAATGGTCTTGAGGTGAGTTTGCCTACAGAGTCTTAGATCTTATAGTGTGCTTTCAGGAGGGGTGGAAAGGCATTTCTTTTTTCCTGTTATAATATTAGATGCTATTTTCAGCCTATAGTGCATCTGCAATAAAATCCAAGCTAGGGAGAATTGTAAATATTCACAAAATTTGTAAATATGCCCCTCCAAATAATGTTATTTCTTTTAACGGGCAATCCCACTAGAACTCTGATAGAGAGAAGGCTGGCAATGGTTATTCAAATTGGTAAACAAGTATTTCTAACAGATTAAAGAGGGTTACCTTAACAGAGGTTTATAGCTGATTAACACAACCAAGTGCATCTTATGAGATAATTTACTTCCTTGAATAAGTAAACACAACTCCAGTGGTACCATCCAGATATCAATTAGTACCACGCAACATTCATTTGCTAAAGAGTAATATAGTTATTTTGAAAGAATTAATCTTCCAAATAGCCTACTAAATAATTTATACACTGAAAATATCAAGCACAAATGACGATATATCTGAGGTTTTCAGGAAAAAAGAAAAATATACACATAGCTAAGCACCTTCTCCTTATTAATATCACAATGAGGAAACCAATGATATGCTATGAACATTTACAAGTCTTCTACAGTGTGATTCTGCTAGAAGAAATCTGGGTCTTTTATTTCAGTCTTTATGAGCAACTTCTTTGTTGGCAAGATTTTGACTTGTTAGTATTCTGATGATCTGGAAAATTATCCCAAGAATTTAAAGTTACGTGCCTGATTTTCAGGTGAGATCAATTTACTTGGCAGACTTTTCAAATGGCTGTTTCTAGTCAGGTGATACATAGTTCAAATATAATACATTATACAAATCAAAAAATAAAATTATATTAAAAGCATAAGAATATATAATCAGCAACATACTAATTCATCCCATGTATCAAGAACAGTGTAACACATTTCAAAAAGTGTTCACTTGAACATGAATTTTTTTTTTTAATGTTCAGTTATGTGAAATTTTTATTGAATGAAAAATCTTCATCTCCTCATATGACATTAAATTGGAACAATAGCTGAAAACTATTTTTATTTAAAATTAGTTCTACTATGAACAAGAACTTTTACACATAACTTGATGGGTAAGGTTTTAGAGATAAATTATAGAAACACCACAATACACCACATCACAAACCATAATTTGCTGTTTCCCAAATAAGTTTAAAGAATCATCAGCAAAAACTTTAAATAATTGATTTCAGAACTATATGAGAAGAATGATTTTTTGATATGGAGAAATTAGAAAATATATCCACGCAATTTTTGTCTTATGCATATAGTTGCAAGTCACCAACCTGTTTGAGTATGATACCTTTTTTACCAGACCTGTAAAATACAGAAAAACATAGCTCTAATTTTCTATAAAGTACTCCAATGTAATAAAATATTTGGATTAAACAAGAGCCACAGTTTTCCCCTTCATTTTTTCCTCTCAGACTTTCAGTATGATTGAAAAAAAAAAACAACTCACCACCATCAAGTCATTTCTGACTTATAGTGATCCCTCCTTGGGTTTCCAAGGCAGTAGCTCTAAGGAAGTAGATTGCCTAATCTCCCTTTCAAGGTGTGGCTGGTGGGTTTGAACTACGAGCCTTCTGGTTAGCAGTCAAATGCTTTAGGCACTATGCCACCAGAACTCTCTCAGTATGATTAAGGGAAGTAAATACTGAAATGAATTGATGAAGAATGTTATTTTGAGATATCTATTTATATATATATATATATATATATATATATGGTTTAGTTATTTATCTGCTCAACTAGATTATCATATAGGACATAATTAGTCTACAGTTCTTTGATACTTTCTTATTTTAAAATGATTAGACAAATTTATGAATTAATAGAGATAAATTTTGCCAAATAGCTGGTAGTGACATGAAACCATAAACTAATAAGCCAAATGTCTAATAAAGTCTAACATAATTTTGTATGTAGCTATTGCTTTAAAATATTATAGTAAAATAACTTATGAAAAGAGAAGTTTATGTGATTGAACATGAAACTTTTAGAGTCAAGGAGAAAATATTTATGATTATAGCTATTGCTACCCAAACACTGCCAATCGAAGAGTCTGTGGTGGTTGTGTGGTTGTGCCCAATGATGATGAGTCATTCAGAGATTTACTCTCAGCCTTTTACTCAGCAATAAGAGTCATTCATCCCACTCTTCCCTTTTTGTTCCATTTGCTCATTTATAAATAAATTACACCACTTTATTTCCTACCAGAAATATTCAAAAAGTTATACAGTAGGGGGGAAAAAAAAAAACCTTTAAAAAGCAAAAACAAACCACCACCTTGATGAGACTCACAATAAAAGTTCGTTCACTCTTTTTCCATTTGGAAACATTCAGCATTTTACTTTAAAATTATCTAACTACTATGCCTAAAACACATATTCTTAATTTAATACATAACTCTCTATGTATGGTCTGAATTTCTTTGGAAAAGTAGAATTAGAGACTTGTTCACAAAACCATTAGCACATTAGCTCAAAAACTAAAGAGGCACCCTCCAAGAGCTTGAAATTTCCTCAACCGTTTCTCTAGAAATCTATTAAGAACAAAACATACACAGAAATTACTAAGACCTTGAGCAGTGTTAATATCTTGCCAGTAATGCTTTGCTGCTTTAAACTGAGTCCACCTTTACTGGGTTATTGTTGGTCACTAATGGAGATGGCTTGCATTTAATCCTGTCTGCTACATCATTAGAGCTATCCACAGAGAACATCTTAGCTGTGCACAGTGAGACTATAATTCTTCTGTATTCCTTCCTGAAATTTTGGTTCAGTAAACCATATATAATTGCATTGAGGCAGCTGTTGAAATACGCCATATAGTAACTGGCTACAAATAGCCACTCTGGGATTCTGGGTACCATGCTGGCAGGGTCTGAGGCTACCACAAGACCAATAAAGTTTAGAGGAGCCCAGCAAATGGCAAAAAGTACAAAAACCACAAACATGGTGACAAAATTCCTGAAGTCTTGTGGTTTCAGTTTGGGTTTGTTGTTGGGTTTCACCCTTCGTCTGACCTGAAGCACCAGGATCCATATTCTCAGGTAACAGAAGATGACAATGATCATAGGGACTATGAAATGGAAAACAACCACAGCTATTGTGTACGCTGAACTGACAGACTGTGCAAATGTACAGGAATAGATCCTTGAGTCATACTGGAGTGTCCCAGTATGCAAGTTAGGCATGATTGCCACCAGTGTCAACATCCATATCAGGAATACATAGCACAGGGAATTCTTGTTACTGTACAACTTGTCATACTTGAATCTGTGGCAGATGTAGCAGTAGCGGTTAATGGCAATCCCAGTGATATTAAATATCGATCCAATGACACTCAAGCCCATCAGGAAACCGCTGATTTGGCAGTGTAGATATCCCAGGTTCCATCCATTGTTAAATATCGATGTCAGCACCAAGGGGTATGGATAAACAGCAACCACCAGGTCTGCCACTGCTAGGCTTACCACAAATATATTTCCTAAAAGGGAAACATTTATAAAATACAGGTTAATGCTAGTTCTGCATGGATTGCATTGATTTTCTCTAACAATTATTAAAGAAAGAGCTGTTTCCAAAATTTGAATGACCTTGCATTGCAGCTGCTGCCAACTTACACAGGAAGAGGGGCTATTTTCAGCAAGAAGTAAACACATTGTTCCCATTGTCAAATAATCAAGTCCACCGTACACGTATTCTTACAATCTCACAAGATATAGTCCATGTCCAAAACTGTTTTCTTTTAAACTATTTTGTTCATCTTCTCTTTTATAACATCTTGATTTCAGTATACTTACCAGTACTAGTTATCTTCGAGTCAAGTTCAACTCATGATAACCTCATCTACATCAGAATACAACTGTGCCCCATAGAATTTTCAAAGGCTCATTTTTCAGAAGTAGATCACTAGGCTTTTTCTTTGAGGCACCCTGGGTGGACTTGAGTCTCCAACATTTCTGTTAGTGACAAGGCTTATTAGAGGTTTGTACCACCCAGGGACTCTTCTGTATACTTATTTTTCTGTATACTTATTTTTTCTACATTGCCTAAGAAACCTCATGTCACATTACTTTTCAAGCATTCCCTAAGTTCCAGGTCTTCTATCCCACTCTAGTTCTTCAACATTTTTTCAAAGGGACCTCTTACTATCGTTCTTTAAAAGCAACACCATAAAAATTAAGAGAAAATTAGCTTTTTCATTAGCTGTCTGGGTGAGAATATTGGTTTAACCCCTCACTAGCTAACTGGGGCAAATTTATCTCATGAAGCTTCAGTTTCTTTTGCTATAAGATGGGGATAAGGATAGTATCTTCCTCATAGGACTGTGAGAGGATTACATAAGGCAATTTATGTCAAGTACGGAGCACAGCATGTGCACTGAGAGGTGCTCTGCTAATGTTGTTCAAAGGTGCTCTGGTGGTGTAGTGGGTAAGTCATTTGGCTGCTAACCAGAAGGTTAGTGGTTCAAACACACCAGCTGCTCTGTGGGTGGAAGATGAGGCAACCTAATTCCTTATAGATTTATAGCCTTGGAAACCCAACGGGGGTCACTAGGAGTTGGAATCGACTCCATGGCAATGAGTTTGGTTTTTGGTTTTGGAATGTTGTTCATGTTCTACAAAACCCTCACCTCAAACTGAAGTAAAAGGTAGCAATTTTCTTAGATGTCCTTAAGAATATAAAGTATAAAATCAAACCCTAATTATTATGAGGGAGCTCTGGTAGCATAGTGGCTAAGACACTTGCCTGTTAACCAGACGGCTGGCGGTTCAAACCCACCAGCCACTCCTCGGAAGGAAGGTTGGGCAATCCTACTTCCGTAGTGATACTG